GTAATCACAGTTTTGCAAGACCCACACACCCCCTTTGGTTCAAGTACGCATTTTCGGGTCGCCTGCAGAATTCTATTGTCTCCCTTCCTGTTCTCTCCCACATTGGACCATGTGGAATGCGACTTCCAGACTGTTCTTTCTGTGTGTTACAGACCCCAGTGTCAGCCGCTACCACGTGCAGTGGTTCCCACAAGTCTGTACCCACAATGAATCCGCCAGACCTGACACCTCGTCCGCCACGACCCAGGTAAGCCTATGGTCGTACGGCTCGATTCTGAACAGTGTGTAGACGCACTTGATCCGTGTATAAAATTGGGCCGAAAGATGTGCCAACTCTATGTTCCACGGATAAGTCACTCTCACTACTGAAGAAGCCACTAGAGGAAAACCGAAAACACAGCCCTCCTGTTCGCCACCCATTCTGTCACCCGTTCGTAATGTTACATCGAGAGCTTATTCTGTTGTCCACATGACAGGTCCTAGAATGTAAGGATGAAAGACACCATTGTTAAGGAAGTGCCAGATCAGAGGGACATGCTTCTGGGTCCCTAACGGCCATGCCACCCGCTCATCCAGCTAATGAAACATATCACTTGTCCTGTCCACCACGCACTGACGTTTTGACTTTTTTTTTTTTAAAGATTGTATTGGGGAATTGGGGAAGGGAAACAGCCAAGTTGCTGTCCTTCGATCTTAGTTGTGGAGGGTGCAGCCAGCTCAGCTCCAAGTCCAGTCGCCATCCGGCTTCCCATCGGCAGCTCGCAGCAAGCTGCTCAGCTCAAGGTGCCGTGTTCAATCTTAGTTGTGGGTGGGCGTAGCCCACCATCCCATGTGGGAGTTGAACTAGAAACCTTGTTGTTAGGAGCACGTGCTTTCACCAGTTGAGCCATCCTGCCACCTGTTGGCAGCTCAGCAGCAGCTCAGTTCTGGTGCAGCTCACTGGCCCATGTGGGAATCGAACCGGCAACCCTGTTCCTCAGAGCTCACGCTCTTAACCAAGTGAGCCACTCAGCTGGCCCCAACGTTTTGACTTTTAAATTGAAGAGAATAATAAGCTCCTTGGGGGATAGTAGTTTCATCTGTACAACTCAATAGAGTCTTCCAGATATTTGGGATTAATGCATGAGTTACAGAGCAGAATCCACAGACCAACAGAAGACAATGAAGATGGCATTGAATTATGCCTGGGATTGATGACAGCGACTTATAGGTAATATAACAGGGCAGCTTAAAATACTCCAAGGCATGGCCCCAAACACATAATATATGGATATATGATATTGAACAAGAACATTTTTCTTTTGAATATTTTTTAAAGCAACAAGGGCTGTGTTTCTGGAATCTTATCTGATCCTATAACTTTAAGGTAGTGAGATAAGGTGGAGGCTTTGCAGAAATATACAGTTTTAGTTTTGTGTTTATACTGCATTTGAGTTGTTCCACCCAAGTTGTTCCTTTCCTTTATCCTTATGCCCTTCCCAAAGTTTGTGGCCTTCAGCAAAAGAAAAAAAGAAACAGAAATTTTTAAAAAGCCAAAGTGTGATGGAAAAGCACAGAAAGAAATAAACAGAAGCAGGATGTATTAAATTTTTTTGTAGGTGGGGGCGGGCGGCGAGGATTTTATTTCTTTTGCTCATGCGTGCCTTGGACTCATGTGGAATCGGGCTTATTTGCAGGGGGCTACACATCCTAGTTTGTCACCCTTAGAAACTGAAGATGATAGTAAATTTTGGGTTGTCGGAAAAGTCATGACGTATATTTTCCTATGTTTTTTTGTTGCAAAAATGCATCATGACTTTTCCGACAACCCAATATTTACCGAGCATAGATGATGTATGTGGTAGACATAAGAATCAAAATCCTGAAAATGCCCTCTGCTGAAAGGCTTAAGACGCGTCTGTTTCCATTTTTAAACAACTCATAGACCCGTTCAATGGATTTTCATGTCAGCATGACACAATGGCTAATTTACCTGTTGCTGCAGACATCTGCCTTCTCTGCCACACAAAAGCATTCTTGAAATGTCTGTGAAGCAGTCGTCTTGGTGGCTAAGTGGGGATTCCAGTATGTCCCCATGTAAAGTGCAGATTCATTCCTAAGGAAAAGCCATGTCCATCCCCAGAGACCCAGCAGGCTGGGGCTGCTCACTGGTCACTGTTTGGTGTCAGCTGTGCTCTGGGTCTACCTGTCACCTCTCCATAAAGGGCCAGTCCCACCCCTTCACACGTTTCCACATTTCCTGACCCCAGCGACTTCTTCTCCTGACTCAGGCGCCTCTGTTTTTGTTTTATTTTTTTTAAGATTTTATTGG